GGAGGAGGAGGGAAGAAGAAGAAGAAGAAGAAGAAGAAGAAGAAGAAGAAGAAGAAGGAGCAGGAGGAGGAGGAGGAGGAGGAGGAGGAGGAGGAGGAGAAGAAGAAGAAGACGAAGAAGAAGAAGAAGAAGGGGTATCCCAAAGAAAGCCAAAGTGAAGATAGCGACAGTGAATATAGCAGATCTATCGTGTTTCATATCGTTTGCTATGGAGGTAAACCGGTTTAATTGTTTGATTGGCTGATCTTTAGGGTGCTCATTGCCTGCAATAGAGAGAGGTGAAGCTGCATCAATTGTTTTGGATCTACTCATCTGGGTGAAAAGGGGGCTGTTGCAGTGACAATTTACGACGCACACACACACACACACACACACACACACACACACACACACACACACACACACACACAGAGTTAAACCCCACGCCCTGAAGCAGTGTGAAAACAGGTTAGAGGTATTGAAGGGCAGTACTTTTCTCAGTACGATGAGGAGGACGCGTATACAAGGAGATTGGGTGAAAGACTATTACACACCTGAAGCAGAGCATTGTTTGACGCGTCAACGGTTCAAATCCTGGTCAATACAGCACCATTGGTGAAGCCAATCTTCTCACAAGGGCAGGGTAAAAAATATTAAATGAAAAAACAGAAACACCAACGAAGAGAAAAGAGATGCAACACATTGCAAATGCACTTACAGAGTGCTGCAGTTCTGAGTTGTACTGCACATCAGTTTTACTCATAGACCGGAATCATCTTTAAGAATTCGATTGCCACACACTGAGTCAGACTTGTGGCAAGCAGCAATTTAGGTAGGACCAACCGGTCACTATTATATATATTGTCACATAACTATTATATATATACATTTCAGTGCGCTCAACACCCTGCCACATTGAACAACCAAACCCATCAGAGTTCCAACACTGCACACCCATTTCAGTCTCCGACAACGACAGTGTCGTCCTCCCATCCACTGTCTTCATCAAACTCCCATTCCCAAAAGCGAAACGCTCTCCTCGCGGAAGCTAGTCCCCTGTGAAAAGACCAGATGCGCCATGGGGATATCTGGGCAGCAAAGGGGGACAGTGACAGGGTTGAGAATCGATCTGTGCACCTTCCAAGGTAAAGATACCATGGGAGCACGCCAGCAGACCTTCAGCAGGGGTTGGCGGGACGATGCATAGGATTCATTACATACCTCCGTCGTCAGGACGGCCTTCAGGATCAGGTCTCGCACGACTCCCCAGTAATCCAGACACGGAAAGCGCAAAAGGGGACCGTCTTCTGGGCTGGCCATGGGAGGATCCCTCCCCATGCAAGGATACTCGGACTCTTCACATAACCAGTGAGTGAAGGTGGACCAACTTTAAAACTGGGTTCCGAAGCCCGCGGCGATTTGACTAAGGAGAATGACCGAAAAGGTGGAGAGGGGAGGGGGAAGGCCAAAATGGAGTTAACACAAGCAGAGCCAGGGACAAAATGACAAAATGTACCTTTAACACCGTTGTAACAGCTTTTGTTCTGGCTGGCCCCTGCAGCTAGATTCCCACCTGTGGCAGATGCACTTTCTGTCCGTCTTTCCGGCAGCACAGCAATGTACAGCAATGGGTGCCGCGGCACCCTGCCGCCTTCGCAGACAAGGTTTCTGATATGTGATCTCTGCTCAGCTTTGCAATCAGCGATAGCCAATCTGAGTTCAGAGTCGATAACACATAGGTCCAAAACCTTATGCTGATTCCATGCCTCAAAAAAAAAAATGCTGGTCAACTGCCTGCCCAAAATGCATTGCAGGTGGATATTGAAGAGGCGCGGAGGACGTGAATACCAACGTCACGTCAAGCGACTTCCAGAAACTCGCGTTGATAGTACTCTGCTTCAGACACGTCAAGCGACTTCCTCGAATGCATCATCGTCAGTGACAGCATGCCCAGCTTCTGTTCTCTACCAACCAGCCAATCACATTGTTGTATTGTATATTATATCCTCATACAGTTCCTCCAGCTTCCTCCCCTTCCCATGCCCAAAAAACACATAGAACATTATCCTCCCTACAGCCCACCCCACTCCCCAAGACCACTCACTCTCTGCTGCCCCCTCCGCCGCCACAACAACCCCGCTCACATACGAAGTACATGGTTGCTTAACATTTCTGAGGAAGTAGAAGGAACCCTCCAAACCAAACCAAACCAAACCAAACCAAACCAAACCAAACCACCACCATCACAGCTGAGAACCTCACTCATCCCATTCCCTCCAGCAGGGGAAGTCACAAGTGCCCAGCTTGCATCCTAGCAAGATCGCATACGTACCCTTGTATGGCGATTCAGCCAGTGACGTTAACCGGAAAGCGACTGCTTAGCAAATTAACGCGAACACAACGACGGAAAGCGACTGCTTAGCAAATTAACGCGAACACAACGTCGGACAGCGATTGGTTAGCAAATTAACACAAACACAACGACCGACTCTAATACGAGCCCCCAACGTCCAGGCTAGCCCTGCTTTTCTTTTACCAAATAATCCACAGGCACTCCTCTCTGCCTGGTACATTCATGAAGCCGGCCTTGAATAACTTCCTCATTGCAAGGAAAAAGAAAAGAAAGAAATTAAAAAAACAAAAAAAAAACAAAAAAAAATCCCCTCAAATCTAATCTCTCCATTCCTTTCTACAGGCATCCAACTGCATCAGCCGGTCTATGCCAAGTATGTACACAGCTACTTCAGTCCCATGCAGGCGTACTTCGAAACACATGTCCACGTCCTAATGCTCACATTACCACCTTGCATAGTCATCACATCAACCACCTCGTCCGCCACCTACTCCGTCAAGATCTGAATAAAAAACATTCCCCTCCAGATCCCCAAACCACCGCCTTGTTGCCGACTACAATGCCACACCCTCAATTGCTGCAAGCACAAATAACCTTTCTCCTGATAACAAACTGCCAGGAAACCTGATGTCGCATGCTTGCAAAATCATCTTGCACCGTGCCAATGTCGCTTGCCTATCACCGAAGACAGCTAACGCAGAGCATTGACCCCCCGGCGCTGCCAGACGAAAACCATGGTACTCCATGAGCAGATATCATATCCCTGTTGATGTAGCATGGATCGATCTTGCGATCCTACTCATGAGAGTTCCCCATACCTTCATAAGTCTTGCTTTCTTTGCAGAATAACATGTATGCTCAGCTTCATGGACCAGACGCCCCACTTAAGAATCTCCGCAGTCGTTGTAACCAATGTGACAAGAATGCCAGAACCCCTCACAGCCATTACCAGACATGCACTACAGCAAGTTGACCTATAGCAGGCTTTATCTAAGCGAGGCGAGGCACAGCAGAAGAAGATATATGTCCGAAATCGTACGCATAGTGTCCCTTGTTGCCTTTCATACGCATAATGTCCAAAATCATGGCAGAAACGTGCGTGACACTATCCCTTTCCCATGCAAAGCGCCAAGGTTGTGTTTTTTGTCCTGGATCATGGCAGAAGAAAACGCTCTCCCCTTCCCAGAGGAAGTCCCCGGCACGATATCTTGACCATCATCGTCAGCATCACTATCAACATCATTGTGTGTTTGTTGTCCTCTTCACGACGTTCCTTCGCCAATGATCCCTTGAATACGCAGGTTGCTGCAGGATTAAGCATAGCACGACCTGCCTGAAACCCATTCACACATCCAGCAACTCGGTGATGCACTACCAGCCAGAGGTTCCCTTAAATGCACAGGTCACTGCAGGATTAAGCGTAGCACGACCTGCCTGAAGCCCATTCACACATCCAGCAACTCGGTGATGCACTACCAACCAGAGGTTCCCTTAAATGCACAAGTCACTGCAGGATTAAGCATAGCACGACCTGCCTGAAGCCCATTCACAAATCGAGCAACTAGTTGATGCACGACCAGGTATGGCGTCTGTGGTACCTCTCATGGACAGCACAAGGACCGCTTACTGAGCCAAGTTCATCCATTCCAACTGCACTTCTATCTCCCCCCTCTCCACATCCTCCAGCTGTAGTACAAGAGATTGTCTCACATTACCATTCACGACATCCAAGCAGCCATTGCGCACAATCACTCGAGTTCCTCCGTCTATCACCTTGCCGACCCACCGACCTCTGCTAGCTCTAACGGATGGATCGGATTCCTTCCACTTTTCAAGAGCCGCTGCTCCTGCTGCCAATGTCGAAAGATCCACACTTGCTCGGCCCATAGGGTCATCCTGTGTGAAGCGGTCTCGGTCAAACACAGACTGCCAACGAAACAGGTCGAGCATAAGTGACGCAACCACAAGGAGCAACCGAGCTCGCCCGTGCAGAAAGGGATGGGGAGAAGAGAGGCGGTGGTGGGGGTGAGGGTAGTCGGGTTTGGTACGTGTGTACTACAAACTTGTACGCACTTCGGTACGTTAGTAGTAGTACACCTCCCACAATTCATTATCAGGAGTGGAGGCATATTCAGAACCTTCCTTTTGCACAACTTTCGGCTGAGACACAGTTCAAAATCCTTACTCGAGGTTGGAATGAAAATAGAAACAGACCATCGCGCCTAGCTCAGTTGGTACACCCATGAACCGTTGATATACACAGACTCAACTTCGAATCCACATACAATCAGATGGACAACTAAAATCTTTCTGAATTGCCTGGGGCTGGTCAGTTCAAGCGATGATATCTCACGGATGCCGCCCTTTCTAACAGGACAAGAGAAAACAGAAAAAAAAAGGAAGAGGTGAATGGAGAGAAAACGAGGAAGAAAGCAACCGAAAAAAAAA